TTGTTTTCTTCGTTATAATAAAATGACAATTCAAAAAACGGTATGTTTCTCTTAAATAAATTTATGCAATTTAAAAGAAATAAAATATTTCAATTTTTATTTTGAACCATATATATTATAATATCTCCAATATAAATCGTAGTAACATTGAATTATTGAAAAAGCTAAATACTTTATAATATTTATACAACTTTATTTCCCAACACCATGTTGTTGTTCTTCAAATGTATAAAAATGTATCTAAATGTACTTTTAATGAATTATACTAAAAAAATGGGGAAAACGAATCTTTATCCAGTATACGTATGCTTGTAGTATGTGACATTGATAAAATGGAATGATTATTGATTAAATAGAATGTTATTGAACTGAATTATATTTGTAGGTTTATAACTGACTAAAAAGAAGATAAATAACAGAGACGACAAAACTAGCAGCAGTCCACGAACTGGCAAAAACAGTTTTGATCAACCACCAAACAAGTCCTAATAATGCAGCTTGCAAACTCAAATGAGCAACCAATAGACTAAAAATATAAAAAATAGATAATTTTAAATTAATTTATTCTCTTTAATACGATAATAAGGAAGAAAAAAAGGAATTGTACTTACATTCTATCTTTAGAACGAGCTTTTGCCAATGATTTCGGGGATTCGTTATGCAAATATTGTCTGACTCCTTGTACCAAATCAATAAAGTAATTCTGCCATATTAGTGGTTTAATATCTAAATTGAAAAGTTTTTTATCAACCTCTGATAGCGAGTCATGTAACTCTAATGTACGAGAGTTATGGAATTTCCATTCAGTAAAAATAAACGTCTTTAAACGATCCAATGAATTGTTAACATTTGTGTGTAATCGTACCAATCTAAAAAAGTGTTCTTTATTAATTAAGATTATATTATATTCGTAAATTATAAAAAAGTTGCAATGTAGAAAATGTTCTAAATATATATGATTAATTCTTGCAGAAAATAGTTAAGTAGGTATTTACAACTTACATTGGTCGACCACCTGCTAATTTTGTAACTATATCCAAAATATATCCTGGAATTAAGTGAATAAAAATTGCAGAGAGTTTAAACATGAAAATCGAAGGTAGCAATTTAAGGCATGGATACCAAACAGCACTTTGTAATGGATATTTGTGTAAGTAAGAATTGATTTGTGGTTCTATGGTAATCCATTTGAAGGGATTACGCGTACTTGATGTACAATGGTACACCTTCAATTCTTTTTTACTGTAACAAGAAACTATTATATATAATACTTAAATGACATAAGAAATTTTTGTCATACCTATCATGATTAACAGCATAAGCTGCAGTAATGAGATTGTTTACAACCAAATCCACTGGAATATAATCGTAAATTAATTCTTTTGCAACTGGTAATCTTCTTATGACACCTTTACCAGCACCCATTAAAAATCCTTGCAGAGTATTCTTTGATACTGTCCATCCAGGAACTGGTTCCTTCCATGCCCCTGTTACTGCAAACATAAAATATTTAAAATATATAGGTTTATTCGATATTCAAAAATACTTTTATATTTATTTATTATACATACTCATTGAAGGACGCACAATAGCAGCAGGAATATGGCCATTCTTAATTTCATGTTCAGCCAAATGTTTTGTGAACGTGTAAGCATTTGTATGGTTCTTTATTATATTTGGAGTTTCTGCTTTCAATGTTTCAAGGTCCAATTTTTCCATTAATCCAACTAACTCATTCACATCATATGGTGCAGGATAAACATATTCTTCTACTTCATTCAATGTTGAGTTCACATATGCACTAGAAACGTGCACCAGAGCCTAAAAGTAAAAAGTAAAAACATCAAAGGAATGTACATTAACATTATGAATTAACATAACTGAGCAACATATATAGATGGTTTACTTTGAAATCTCTTATTTCTTGACAAAGCTGGACAACTCTACGTGTGCCTAATAAATTAATATTTGTAGCAGATTTCAAATCTACTTCAAAATCCAATGTTGCTGCAGAATGAAAAACAATCTGAACATCTTCAACAAGAGTCAATCTATCTGCTGATGACAACCCTAGATTTTCTTCTCCAACATCGCCAGCTATGAGAATTAATTTCTTAAAAAGATCTGTCTTATTCTCTTCTTTCAACCTGTTAAATACCTATAATGATAGAATAAAAGAAAATATACTATTAAAATTTAGTAAAATTAAATCTTTATTGAAATTTAATGAAAATAATATATAATAATCAAGAACAATATATATTACAATATATATTAAAATAATGAATTAAGTAAGTCTTAAACAGAAAAAGTTAAAAAGAATACGTTAAAAAAATACGATAAAAAAAATAAATCTAAAATTCTAAATATCTTACTATCTAACAAAAACTTACTCTTTTAAAATAAAATATCAATGACATATAAATTTTTGGCACAGAAAAGATATAATAAGACAATTATGAAACATTCAATCTTTCTACAATTACAATTACGTGATCACACACGAAGAAAAAATATATTATACGTAAAAAAGAATATTTAATAGACTAAAGATAAGAATGTTTACGATAGAATTTAAAATGACATATTCGAGAAACATTGGGTTAAAGGTTATCTACATAACAACTTCATTTATCAAGAGGCAAAACAAATATAAGATAGATACGATTACATTTTGAATATACATCAATGTACCGAATTCTTTTTTATGTCTTCCAATCTCTCTTCCACCTTTTTCCCTTTCTTTGGTCGGACTAGCAGGTAAATAGTTTTCAAGTCGGGAATAGATCTCAATAGCTTTTCGATCAGACAAACACCAAGGAATCCAGTTCCACCGGTGATGAACACAGTTTTACCGTTATAAAATTCGATTACGTTCGATGCCATTGTATCTCGTACTTGTGTAACACTTTATTGGATAACTGAAATCGGAAACTCAATAGGAAGAAAGAAGGAAAATACGAGGTGTTCCAATAACGTAAAAAAATACGTGACAAGTAAAACACTGCCGGTACAACGGTATATCGTAAGGTGCACGTCGCACATTCACTGCTGGCTCGTCGTAAACTGAAGCTAGAATTCGCGTAGAACTGTGTTTACTAACGTTCATAAAAGGAATAACGAAACGCACGTGTTAGGAAATTCAAGATTTCAATCCAGATTTCTTGATTTACTAGATTAATTATTATATCCATTACTGTAACTTATAATCGTATGCATTAGACGTAGAAGGTGGAGCATTTATGTACATGAGAATAGCTGCTAATTTTGCCACATATCACGTTGAAAAACGTACAAATTACATGTGTATTCGATATTCAGCCGCATATGAAATGGACGGTACACATTTTGAATTAAATTTTTTCTTCTATTTCCTCTAATTCTTTTACTATATAAGTATTTAAATATGTTTCGAATATCAAAATTTATTTTAATAATTAAGTAATAATTGAACAACAAATGAAATATACACTTTAAAAAGTTGCTTTTCTGTCTTAATTAATTTTTTAATTTTTGACGTAAATGACAATTAAATTACTATGTGTAGTTTGTTTCTCTGCGTATAATTTTTAATGCGCGTCAAACATTAAAAATCTTATTCTTATCAGTTCTTAACAATTCAAGTAGAAAATATAAGAGATTTAATTTATATGAGAAGAAAAAATCGTCTGTTTGTCTACATGACATTTAGTTAGGATAAGGATGACAGTTTTGCATAAATCAAGAGGTTATATCCTTGAACATTATATAAATTTATGCTGTTACTGTGCAAAGTAGCAATGATGAAAGAGTACAAAGGTATGAATATGTTTTTTCTATTAAATGATTATTAAAAAGTATTACATATATGACAAGATGAATTTTAATAAAAAAATTCATATATTATTTACATATATTATTAAAATATGATTAAAAAATGATTAAAAACTTCTTATGATAATTATTGGTAAAAGTGAAATATTTCTTCATTCGTATAACATTAATTGATCAATATAAAATTATCAGTCATCAGTATAAAATTATTTTAAATGTTTCAATCTACGTACAACATGTTAATAAAACATAAAAAAATGGAAAAAAATTCCGTAATTTCCCAATTCATAGTGAAAAAAACAAGAAATCGTTGATAAATATTATTTCTACACGATGAAAAGAATATTTGAACATGTTAAGTACATGTAGTTATTCCATACTAATAAATTTGGTACGTTAAATACAGCATCAATTCTCAGAGACGAGCATAATCCAATGATTTTATACTCCACGTTATAAAAAGATTTATTTAGATTTACATCCATTTTCACATTTAATGCGTTCAACAATTTTTTAATGAAAAAATTATTTCGAAAAGGTTTCATAAAAGTTTAAACAACTGTTAAAAAAACTATACTATTACTTTAATTCATTCAGCCAGACATCTCGGAATGAACGGAATGTTAAAATGAAAAATTTTAGTGAAAGTCAATTTCAAATTTTTAGATGGAGATCCAACTCATTGTGTCATTGATGTAAATGATATCTTTTGAACGAACTGTTTTCAAAATATTACGAAATTTAAGAAATTTATTTTTTATACATTTCACGTACATATAAAATTTACTTTTTTCATACATTTCGAAATACGTATTCAGTTAGGGATATTAGAATCAATTAAATAAATTAAGATTTATTAAACGTGCATGTAATTTCAAATAAACGAATTCATTCGGTAATTACGTGAAAAATGGAATGTCTCACCGACTTTAATAAACTTGAATCATCAATCTGAACAATTTTTCTTTAGGTTACTGCCGCTGTCGGCTTTAGTTTTCGAGATATTTGTAAAAATATATTTAATGTTTTTTTAAAACGGTAAATTTCACTGATTTCAATGATCCTTGACATTTGTAAATAATCATAAACTATGATTCTTTGGTTTGAGGAACGATAGTCATTTGTATTTACGTGAATTATTTCCAAATAACGGTAATGTTTCTGGCCAACTTTTGCCAATCATGCATTTACTTATTCTAAACCAATACTGATACTCCTCTTTAAAAAAAGGTGATCATTTTTTAAAGTGAATGTGTTTAGTTAGACTATATAGATATGCATATGCAAAAAGTATTCAATATTCATTGTATTTTATATGTATTATTATATTGCAAATTGCATAAATTGTGTTCGAATTAGACTTGTTAAATTAGTGAAGTCGACCCTCATATTTCAAATGTACTTGTTTTTATTTTCAAATCTTTTTCGCAAAATTTTGAGTGTTAATTTCTCTGAATTGTCAAAAATTTTTTTCATAAACGTTATATTTGTATATGGAATGAAAGATTCTTCAAAATTTCAGCAAAATGTGGAGCAACATGTTTTTTGCTTAACAATGAAAAATTGTTCAGAATGATGACTTTGAAAATATGATTCAATTTTCCTAGATAATTATCATTTATTTCTGTCCTATATAACATGACAGATTTACTCCAACGATATAAAAAATCTGGTACTCATGTTTGTCTAATATACTGTTATTAGATGAGGATTGAGAAACAAACTAATTTTCTAGCATCAAATTAGAGTCGCTTTCTCCTTAATAACAGTGTAATTTACTAAAGTTTGATATATACTTCTTGCATATTCGTCATTTATCTTCATCCCATTTGCATTATGTTTGCAAATTTAAAAACAATCTTATTGTAAGAGTTATATATTTAATAAAATAATTATTAAATTTATGATAATTTTATTTTTTAATTTATTTAATAACTGTAAAATAAAATTGTTTTTTTAATAATTTTAATGATTATTATTTAATAATTTTATTTATTTTATGAAGTTTTGATTTTTTGATTTCATATTTCAGATTATAGACATCATATGCATATTATGCATATTATAGACATGTGATGCGACAAAAGCTGCCTATCTTATTGTTTATCTTATCTTGTCTTATTATTTATGTATGTATGTTATACTTTTCATATTTTATATATATAGTTTTTTTAACGTATATAACATAATTAACTAAGGACAAGATAAATTTGATATACAACATTTTTTTGTGTTTGACATTTTAAAGATCATCTAGAAACATCCTTTTTATTTTCATGTTATATGCAATGTCATCAATATAATAATGAAATAAACAAACATGTAATATAAATACCTAGAATGTAGAAATACATTTTTTACTTACTCATATAAGTAATGTTTCAAAATTATTCTAAATTTCAAAAGTATAGTTCTAAATCTAATTCTTTTTTATAGGTTAATGTATTATAGTAAGAGTTATTATACAATTGGATTAATTGTCAAAAAAAAAAGAAAAAAAAATCCATCTCTAAAAGGTTAAATAAATCTGAATCGTCGTTGACGCTTATAATATTTATACTATATTATTATATATATATTATAGTATATACTATACGATGCGACGTATAGTAATCTGAGATCCTAATTCCTAAAACTGAAATTCAGTGAAATAACAGATGTGAAATAGGAACCTCTAATTTTATCCACAAGAAATGACAAACGAGAACGAATTTAATGGCACATCGGTTTCAGACTTTTTATTCAAGACATATCAAAGGATGCATTCTTGAAGAATTTTGTCATGCGATTCTTATATTTCTGCTATTGTTCTATCCAACAAACAAAAAATTTAGTTTCGTTTGAAGATATATATATACAAGTTTGCTTGGAATAAAGGAATAAAAAATTCCTGTCGTGAAAATTATTTTACTTATAAAAATACTTTAAAAATATTTTATGTAACTTAACTCGGCAATCGAAATAAAAAAAAAAGGATATAAAAAACGTAATATTTTTAGTTTAAAACAAAATTTTTATTTTTTATTAACTTTTATATTTTTACTCTTGAGAAGGGAATTAACATTTAACAAATTACATTTACAAAAGAACATCGTTCGCACGATTTTTTTACAAAATATATAATATATAATTAATATAATTAATTTATAAAATATGATAGATATCAGAAAATTTGATATATTTATTTTATGTAATTCGAATATATAATATTCTCTTGAAAATCAAATATGGGATAATTACTTTCAAATAATTATCAAATATGGGATACATTATTTAAGTAACTTTTATTTAAATAAAAAAACTTTATCATTTGTATCTTTAATTATTGTTTATTACTTATTATTTGAATAAAAGTTTGCCCAAATCATCCAAATACGAGAACACTTTGGAAACGGGACGGATCGAATAATTATGGTCGGTTCAAAGTCTGCAACACGAATAATCGGGCAACTCATTTATGTGATCATGTCAATGAGTTTCATTTTGTTCGGCATACGCGGCAGAACAGTGAGAGAAACATGGCAACACGTCAAACTTTTAAGATAGAGACGTTTTCAAGACGTTTTGGCAACTATGCTTTTTTTTACATTTTTTACATTGGTAACTCATCCATTTCTGCGCTTGATATTGAAAGTATGGAATATAAAATTATAGCCTGCTCTTACACGTGTTAACATGTCAAATGACATGAACAACGCGATGTGATTGTTATTTGTTTTCAACTGATTTATATGTTTAATGTTTAATGTGTAATTATTAATTTATTAATTATTTATTACGACTAAAATAAAATAAATATTTATTTCTTACTTACATAGCAGTTATTACAAAATATGTTTGAAATGATAACCATTGATATCTAAATATTTTTATATTTTATAATTTTTAAAAAAATGTTTTATATTACTTTAATCTTTAATCTTACTTATACTTACTAATATTACTTATACTTTAATCTTAAATCTTTTATGTTACTTAACATCATGCAGTGTACATTCTTGACAATTCGTTTACGTATGTTTTCAGCGATTGTTGGTCCATGAATGTAGATTATTTTTTAGAATTGGCTACAAAGAAAAGAAGACTTAATTTGTTCAAATCTGGTGAATGGGTTGGCAAATGAATTGGTTCACCCTCGAGAGGGAAAACGTTAGTCTAATGCTTCTTTGGATATTACAATGTGATTGCAACATCATTTCAATAACTAAATAAGACATGATGAAAATATAATGCAGACACAACATGAAGGAAGAATTATTAAATATTTCAAAATAAAAGATGATCTAAGAAACAAAATATCATCTGACATTAAAAAGAGAGTAAAATTGAGCAAAGAAATTTGACTTTGAACCAGCATCATATTGCAATTTAATTAAATTATTCCATTTAAAATATCTTTTATCAGGAATTAAAAGCTTTTTGGTATAAATGATTTAATACTTTTTAGGGAATGCTTTATAGCAAATGACAAGCTGAATCAATCAATACAGACCTGTCGAACTGATGGTTCGCAAGTCAATCGTGCTCCTCTTTGAAAGAAACGAGTCATTCATAGGGAAACAGTCTTTTCTCTAGAAACTTTTATTTCTAGCACCGACGAGGTATATGAATAGATATTGTATCTTATGGACTTTTGTGGCTAGTGACCTGAAATACCGATATACTAAAAAATCACTGGCTTTTTAGCGCACTCTACGTTTAAACAACGATGAGTTGGGGAACTAGTGAATGCGCCAGCAATATGATTTTTAAGACCCATTGCAGTCAAACATTCAATACCGAAATGTAAAGCTCGTCTGACTATACCAAGTAAAATGATACAAGCAAAATGTTTAATTGTATTTCCAGATTCCAAGACGCGAAATTAGTATAAAAAATGGAATAATAAAATTATTGATTCTGATTTATTGAAATATATTTAGGGACGAAATATATTTATAATGGACTTGATATTTAATATTTAATCAAAAAAGAGACAAAGAATAGGTTTACTGCATTTTATCAAATCATATGTTTTGAAATATCCATCAAAATCCAAAGTCTGTCTTCTACAATATTTAAAAATGCACTATACGTCGTCATAAAAAAATTCAATCTCTGTTTTAAATCGTTATATTCCTTCATCAATGAAATACCACTACGTTCAATTCAATGAACAAAAATTCTAATTCTCGAAACAACTGGCAACACTGTCCATATTTTTTGATTTTCGCGGTGCGCGAAAAAATGTCGGTACGACATCTGAATCGGTACGACAGGACGTGACACAAAAATGGTAATGCGATTCTCAGGACCGTAAAATCTTGGCCGAAAAAATATATTGTATGCAATGTCTATTCATATATCTTGTTTGTGGTCAAAGAAAAGTTTTTCCATCACTGAACAATTTTTTTTCATGATCAGATCAAGCATGATCTTAAAAATTAAAATCTTCCCTTTCTGAGCCCTTAAAACTAACTGTAGATTATATGTGATAGATCCATTTGTTTTCGCCTTTTTATTGAACTTTAAATTCATTAATTTTGTCGAATTATAACAACAAATAGCTTCGTATGCAAGTCATTGAATTCGTCTTAAGAAATTTCAAAAATAAACGATCTACAAGAAATAATTTACACCAAACAATATAACTTTATACTGAATAATATTTGTAGAAACATTTCAGTTTCATGTGGATTCATTCAGAGTCTGAAATTATACATTAAAATAAGTAAAAAATGTCTAATTCATATCTAATTATGTTGTTAAAAAATATATTTCAATCAATTTTTTCTAATACTTTCAACTAGACGTCGTAATACTTTCAAATAGACGTTAATAATCAAATATATACTCAATTTGAAAAATTTTTTTATAAAAAATAAAATTTATTTGTATATCTCATCTATGAGGAAAGCATTGCATTTCCGATCTATCCTAATTTATCAGTGATTTTGCTTCTAGACGGTATTTTCGAAATCTGAGACATTAAATGCTATTTAATGCCCAGTTTATTCTACCTTTAATTAATTGTGATATCACGATAAATAACATAATAATCAATAATCGCAAGTTCATCATACAATCGTAAGTTTTATTGTTCAAGTTTAAACCGATAGATGTCAGACTAGAGTCTATTTTATGCTACATATTAAGGAAAATAATGTTTATATTACTTTATTAAATTAGGACGTTTCATTTAGGTTAGAAATTTAATAACTTCTTAAGTCGATGTTAGAAAAATGATCATAAAAATATTACTTAATTAGTAATGCATTTTAATTAATCTTCAATTTCTTGAAAGCCCCTTGCAATTGATACTGTATACAGCTCGTGAGTTGATTGGTCCTATAATGTTACTTTGATTTTAAATTGACATATTTCTCCTCTTTATCTTGATTGTCTTTATCTTGATTAAAAAGTTTAGCTTCGTTTTTGTGAAATTTCATTAATGTTAATTTTCATGTAAAAATCTAAAAATAGTTACATATAAATGCATTTGTTTATGTTCTAATTACTATCTAATTGAGATAATCGAAATTGTAAATTATTCATCATTAAGTAATTAGAAATCTATAAGCGAAAATGAGTTTAAGGCAATATTAACTGTCATTCAACTTTACAGAAATAAAAACTAAATAGTAATTTAAGAAAACAAGTTTTTTCTGAATAAATGTATATTCATAATGAATTATTCAGAAACAATTTACAAATATATGACAGATTCTATAACTAATTGATTATATCCTCTCAGTAATATAAATTAAATCGGTAATATAAATTAATAAAGTATAGTAATATTTAGTATATTATGCAATGTTAATAAAATATTTTTTTTTATATATATATATAAATTATAAGTTAAGTATAAACATTCTAATCATAAGCACTTTAATCATAAAATATCAACTTTCAGTCATAGAATTAAATATAGTCAGTTATAATTAATAACAGTTAATCAATGTATATCTATATACAATGTATAAATTATTATCTATATTAATTAAAATTGTTTAAATCATAGATATAATAAAAACGTACGACCGATAATGTAGTAAGAGATATCTTTTAACTTTGTTGGTGTCTAATGAATTTATCAAAAAATAAACATTTCCAAGGATATATTCAAGCTATACGTTATTTCGTCATTAACAAAACTAATAATCAGAAATTAAACGTACGTATTTATGACATCAAATATAAATAATTAACACACACGTAATTATATTATTCTTAAATTACATTAAATGAAAATTTAAAAACACAAAATTTAAATTACTATTAATATCGAGATTAGAAGCTTAATATATGTAAGTTTAAATATAATCACTAGATTTATGGGTAGAAATGAAATTTGTAGGTGAAAAATGTGTGTGCGTGTGTGTAGATTATATATAGAATATAAAATATTCAAAATATAGTACAATTTCTTAATTAGTTTCCACTTTTCTCTGATTCAGAAAAATCTGATTCATAAAAATATGAGTGTACATAAATACAATAATGGTCACAATAAAAATAGATAAATATCTAAAGTTTAGTGTGATTAATGAAGAGCAGAACGATTTAAAATATAGTCGACAATGTTCTAAGGGTTAAGAGAAAAGAAGCAAGAGAGAGATAGAAAAGGCAGAGAGCTTCCTAGTAACTTTTTGTAGGGAAGTATTGTTTTGCCTGGGGGGATTTGGCGGTTGCCCCAAGATGGCGGACTCGGTTGGCGTGCGACAAGCACGAGTTGAAAAGTGCCGAGAACACGATTCGTTCGTGATTCTGTGTTAAATCGGTATCGTGAGTTTTACTTGTGGATAGCACGAGCATCGTTGACGAAGAGTACACGCTCGGATTATATAGGTACGTGGCAAATTACTCACACAAAATTGTCTTTCTGCACGGGGTAAAAAGCCGCGCCTACTATCGTGTATCTCGATATTGTGGTGGATACACATCTAACAACGTTGTTTTATAAATTCGTAAATGCCCAGCTACGTATTAATGTCGACATTAGGATCGTTAAGAATACTCTTTGTGACAATAGAGTTCGTTATTATGTTGTACAATTTCGTGATACAGGGATATCGAAGTTGGATATGCAAAAATCGAACAGTCAAGTGCCACGGCCGAATACTTCGTTCAGATTTCCTACTATAAATTCTTAATAGTTTTCTGTTTGATAACAGAAACCATGATCGAACTTTTCTTAGCGTAATTTTACGGCTTTACGAGATATTGACTGAATGATTTTCCCGCCGTATCCGTAAAAGATATCGCGAGAAATTCATCGCATGTGAATGCAATTCTGTCGTATTCTTGGTGAATTCATTCTCGATTCGTGAGAACTTTCATACAATTTCTTCTATACATTGTATTACGTTTTATATATATAATTTTATTATTTTATAGACAATGTACTTAGTAGTTTTTGATTTTACATTAATGACGAATGATTACCGCCTCTGCTTTGACGCATCGTCTTAATCGGTGTTAGTTTCTTCCGTGTATTCGTGTGTGTATGTGTGGATGTATAACTTGATGTTAGCTATATGCGCGCATTTCTTGGCGTGCGCAACGCAACCCGCATGCTACTTTACCGTGTAAAACAGTTCCTCATAATTTCTCCTGTAGTTAGCTGTCACTTTTATAGATGTTGATACAAGAATGATTGCTTTGGATTTGGATCTGGTACTTTGACACTTAGATCTAATATACTTGCTATATAAATATGAAAAAAACACTTCTGAATTTCTATACCGGCGATACTATGTGATTTGGCGGCTTATATGTATATGTATGTACTTTCAAGAGCCGAGTTGAACACGAATGTAAGTACTTGACTACATGTAGCTAGTTTGTTGGGGAAGTGAGTAAAAATTATCAATCTAATATATCATAATTGTGGTTGTATTAAGGATTATCATATGGATGTGATAAGGATTGTTTATTTAAAAATAATTTTGTAATTCGATATAAATATATATACATAAATGTTGTTTCAATCATTTTTATTGTACGTGATATACTTATTATTAAATAATATCGTGTTCAAAAATTGTTAACTATGTTCGAATGTTATGAATGAACTGTTAACTATATTTTTCGGTTTCATATGTATATTACTATTGGTTTTTATTTCTATATTACATATGTGTACTACATTGTATGAGACGAATTTATGCGG